GTGCCCTGGAAAGTGCGGGCCCTTCCCCTGCAGCAGGCGGCGTCCATGCCCAGCAGGCGGCGTCCATGCCCAGCTTTGAAAGTGTACCGAGATAGGGAGGTGAGGATCGAGGTTTCTATCGAACCTAGAGTGAAAACTCAGCTGGAGCCTGCGGCTGGACGGCTTTCCATCCCTTTAATATGATGTCAGGCTCACAACCTTCACTTTGAGTGAATCTGGGCCAAAGGATAGAAGAATTACAGCAAAGCCACCCACTCCTCCAAAGCCCCAGAGAGGTACCACTGCTTAGTGGTTTGAGCAGAGGAGTCTTCCTGTCTGTGAGATGGTCAGGAGGTTTTTTTTTTTCCTCCTAGGGTAACTGGTATTATAGGAGGAAGGGCTAGCCAACAGGGTTCCCCCCAGGATGGGACTTGAGGGAACTTCTGGGGACTGGCCCTGCTTTCACACTACAGTGTGAAAGGCCCCAGGGGAGACTCAGCCTAGGCTGTTCTCTCTCCTCACACTCTATAGGTTGGAGCATAGCTCACACCACTACAGGGCAGGTGGCAGAGCTGGCAGAGCCTGGGCCATCTTGGTCATGTGGCCCAAGTATCCCATGGAGACTCTGCTCTGGCTGTCTGGGTTTTCGGGACCAAATCAAGGTTTAAACAGAAAACAAACTTCTCTGGGTCTTCCCTTAGGGCCCGATGTGACAGAAACCAGGTTCATCTGACCCGAGTCCAGGTGGGGACACATGGCCCCCCAGTGCCTGAGGCCAGGGGCTGCCGCTACCTTTGGGGTAGGTAGGGAGGTGCTGCCTGCCGCTGTGCTCGCTCCGCATTGGCCTGACAGGCACTGACGAGGGCGCTCTGTGCAGGCGTGCTGAGTCTGCAGGAATTTTCCAACATGGACCTCCGAGACTTCCACAAGTACATGAGGAGCCATAAGGCCCAGTCCAATGAGCTGGTGAGGAACAGCCACCACACATGGCTCCACCAGGGTGAGGGAGCCCACCATGTCATGCGTGCCATCCGCCAGAGGTGAGCGCCTGAGATCGTTCTTCCTGGGGCAGGGTTTCCACACATGTCCTTTGCCAGAGCCAAAGGGATGGAACTGATGAACTAATTTGGGATTAAATATCAATTGTTAGGGCAGGAATGAGAAACCCTGAAAAACAGGCAGCTACTGAAGGTACATTAGCCTGGTTGTGGGCAAACAATTTGTATTAGAAATAAATCAAGCGCCTTTAATCCCAGCACTTGGGAGGCAGAGGCAGGCGGATTTCTGAGTTCGAGGCCAGCCTGGTCTACAGAGTGAGTTCCAGGACAGCCAGAGAACTACACAGAGAAACTCTGTCTTGAAAAACAAAACAAAACAAAGCAAAACAAAACAAAAAACAACAAAAAAAAAACAAAAAAAAAGAAAGAAATCAAGCACTCAGAAGGCAGAGGCAGGTGGATTTCTATGAGTTTGAGACCAGCCTTGTCTACAGAGTGAGTCCAGTACAGCCAGGGGTATAGAGAGAAACCTTGTCTGAAAAAAAAAAACCAGCAATCAATCAAATATTTATTTTCTGTTAATTAGGAAAATAAGGACTTATTTCTGATCAGAGAATCCCTGGCCCTTGAACAGATAGCTTCATGAGCCAGGGTAATACCTCACACCACTCATCCTGCAGTCTGTACCTAAGGCCTGGACTGGGGAGTGAAACTGTCTCAGAAAACCTGGAAAGATGAGGGCATGGCTTGGTTGGTCAAGAGCTTGCCTAGCATGTAAAAAGCTACAAGTGATCACCACACTGCAGAAACCCAGGTCTTGCTGTGCATAGCTCCAATCCCAGAACTTGGAAGGCAGAGACAGAAGCCTCAGGAGTTTAAGATTGTCCTAGGTTACAGAGTTCCAGGCTGACACGGGGCTACCTCAGACCCTATTCAAAAGAAAAAAAAAATAACGGAAAGAACAAAAAATAAAAACAGAGGTTTTTAAATGAACAATTTTATTCTAGAGAGGAGAGTCTCAAGATTCTTCTCATCCCCCTGAGTATACGGCCATCTTGTTTTCTCTATTAATTGGGTATCTCTGTGTCTGGCAGCCTGTGATGTAGAGGTCATCCTCACCACCACAGATCCAGTTCTTTGTGCTTCCCCCGCCCCCGTGTGTGTATGTGTGTGTGGTGTGTGGTGTGTGGTGTGTGGTGTGTGTGTGTGTGTGTGTAAGGTCTCATGAATCCCAGACTCACCTCAAACTTGCTAACTGCTTCTACCTCTGAGTCCCAAGTACTGGGGTTACAGGCACACACCACATCAGTTTCTGGCATGCTAGGATTGAATCTAAGGCCTTGTACATATTAGGCAAGCCCACTACAATTAAATGACATTCCTAACTCAGCCTTTCTGCTCTTAGAAATCAAGCATGGTTCGTGGGATTCCCAGGGGAGGCGGGCAAGGGTAAAGCTGGTGGCTGGCCCAGGACCCACCTTGGTCAGCTCCTTTAGGTAGCCATCCTGCTGTATACCTGCTGCCTACCAGGGTGCTGCGCCTCACTCGCCTCTCACCGGAGATTGTGGAGCTCAGCGAGCCACTACAGGTCGTTCGATATGGTGAAGGAGGCCACTACCATGCCCATGTAGACAGTGGACCTGTGTACCCAGAGACCATCTGCTCTCATACCAAACTGGTAGCCAATGAATCTGTACCCTTCGAGACCTCCTGTCGGCAAGTACCTCCCACGGGGGCGTGGCTTCGATTCCCAGACCTTGGGGATAGGTTTAACCCGGTATGGGGCCAAGAATACACTGGGCCATCCTGGCCAGCTATGTCCCTACCTTTCCCCCAAGTCTCTCCTTCATGGACTAACAGGAAAGTGGTTGCTCCTGGCCAGGCCATTGTATCTATTCAAATGAAAACACATCTAGATATCCACAGATATTCAAACTCGCCCCTGTAAGCACTGATCGTGCCTCCATTGCTGGAAGTCTCTGCCTCAGTTCCTGCCTCTGTTTCTACAGTTGTGTCCTCCTGCCTGTACAAAGTTAAGTTTTCTCATGGCCTTCTGGCTCAGTCCTTCCAGTCTCAAGGAGACTTTACATGATATTTCAGCTCTTACAAGTTCAGTTTTCCTGGCCAGATCTTTGGTTTAAGGTCACAAACTTACCTAAGTGCACTGTGATCTTGGCCACATAAGGAGAGAGGCTCTGTGAGAAAAGGGCCAGAGAGGTCTTAGCCATCCTAGCCTGATCTGTGGCCCCTGGGTATCCTGCCCGCAAGTGGGACTATCCACAGTTGGAGACTGCTCAGCAGCCCACCCCCCACCCCTGCCTTACAGCTACATGACAGTGCTGTTTTATTTGAACAATGTCACCGGTGGGGGCGAGACCGTCTTCCCTGTGGCAGACAACAGGACCTATGATGAAATGGTAAGGGCCAATGGGCTGTTCTATTACTCTTGGGGTGGTAGGGCCTTGGGCAAGTGTGTACACCCTTCTAGACCTGGGATGAGGGCACATCTGTTTTCCCTCCAGCCAGCTTTGGCTGCCTGCTCATGCAATGGCAGGCAGTCCAAAAACCTCATTGGCTTGTTGCCCACAGAGTCTGATTCAGGATGATGTTGATCTCCGAGACACGCGAAGGCACTGTGACAAGGGCAACCTTCGCGTCAAGCCCCAGCAAGGAACTGCAGTCTTTTGGTATAACTACCTTCCTGATGGGCAAGGTGAGGGCTTACTTATGGCCCAGGTCTTGGGCTTCTCCTGAGGGAACTCAGCTCTCCCTTCCACTACCCTGGAGGGCTGTTTCTGTCCGCCATAACCAGTGATTTCAAAACAGAGTAGTACTAGTATCTTAGGTTATCTCCGCCCATCTTCCTTATGCACCAGCCTTCCTGCTGTCTGGAGCAGGGAAACTTCTCTCCACAACCCAGGTTGGAAAGAACTATGGCCAGGCTCAGAAGCAAGGAAGCTTGGTTTTAGAGGGCCAGTATGTTGACCATGCCTTAGTGGGTGAGATGCCAAGTCCTTCCATGGGGATTAGATGTTTGCACAGCTCCAGGGTTTTCCCCTAACTTGTCCTTTGTTCATGTCACCTTCTTACCCCAGGCTGGGTGGGTGAAGTGGATGACTACTCGTTGCATGGGGGCTGCCTGGTCACCCGCGGCACCAAATGGATCGCTAACAACTGGATCAATGTGGACCCTAGTCGGGCACGGCAAGCCTTGTTCCAGCAGGAGATGGCTCGTCTGGCTCGGGAAGGTGGCACTGACTCGCAGCCCGAGTGGGCCTTGGACCGGGCCTACAGTGATGCCCGTGTGGAGCTGTGACGCGATGCCCTGATGCGAGTCACCCGATGCCCAACGTCAAAGACCATGCAGGTCCTCTGTCCTACTGCAGACTGAAGTTCCGGCTGACCTCCTGCCCTACCCCTCCCTGCCTGCAGCCGCGATGAAAGGCACAATTCCCACATTCACATTATTTATTGGTGTACAGCCTCCATGCTGCTCCGTTAAATAAAACTACAGGGCTTCCAGCCAGGGCCCCGCGAGCTAAGCGCCCGCTTGGGGGAGGGGAGGCCCGCCGCCCCTCCTCGCTAGTCTCACGTGGGGGGAAGGGTGACTCTCTGATCGGGCCAATCAGGAGCGGGATCGCGTGTGGCCCAGGGTCGTCATTGGACGTCCGCAGCCCAGCTCCAGGGCTTTGCTACCTGTAGTTAAGGGCTTCGGAGCTCTGCAGCACGGCTCGCCAGACGGCTGATTCTCGCGAGAACGCAGCTCTCTTCTTGTCTGTGGCAGCTACAGCAGCTTAAGGACAGTCATGGACGCTTTCGGGGACTATGTCTGGCCGCGGGCGACCTCCGAGCTCATACTCCTCCCGGTCACGGGTCTGGAGTGCATTGGGGACAGGCTGCTGGCGGGTGAGGCTTGGTCGGGCTAGCGGGCGAAGAACTAGCCTCTCCCCTGGGGTGGTCGCACGGACAAAGGGATGCCCTGGGGAGGAGAATGGGCAGCGGGCTGGGGACTGGGCGGGGGGCTGGGGTGGGGGGGGATAAAGCAGGTTCGGAGGTGGCGGGAAACACTGGCCAGCGGGAGGAGGGCGGGGCTCGAGACAAAAGTCTGTGGTAGCCGTGGCAGCCAGCGTTGAAAGGATGGACAGAGACTCGGGAAGGTGTGGGGGACGCAGTCGGTCCATGTTGGGGGAGGGGCGGTGCACCCGTAGGTGAACTCAGATGATCAAAACCCCTGGGGTGGAAACAAATGGGCAGCTTCAGGGGGTGTGGCAGGAGTGTGGCTTCTGGGGAGGGTGAAGCTCCGCCCCTAAAGATGAGGGGGCTAAAAGATTGCCTTGTGAGTAGAGCAGTATCCAGAGAGGCTGGGGTTCCTCTTGAGATGGTTGGGGTTCTGAGCCGACTGGGTTAGTAATCACATGCTCCAGTGTCTGGTTGTAAAGGTCTGAGATGGCTCTGAGGTGCCAAGTGACCTAAAAGCAGTCCATCTGTGATGGTGGTGTTGGGTTTTATAAGGGCCCTTGGCACTGACAATTAGCCCTTGGGTCAGCCATTATAAGCCCCAGCAGGTGTGTGTATGTCTTGTGGGGAGGGTATACTCTAGAGTTGATAACGGGTGTGTGTGGGGGGAATGTGTGTGTGTGCCAATATTGGGGTGCTCCAGTGAACTAAACTCTCTAGAGGTGGGACCAGCAAACTTCAGGAAATGCAATCTGTAGAATTTGAAGAAAGAGACGATATGCAACATTAAGACAGGAGCAATGTTGAGCTCTCTGGGTTTGGGTTGGGGGAGGGGAAGGGCTGAGGCTGGGCAGAGGCTGGTAATGGTTACTAGGATGAGGAACACTGGAAAGTCTGGGGAGGATGAGATGGTGGGAACGTATGAATTTGTATAGAGGGAGGCCCTGGCCAAGCCCCTCTGAGCACAGGTCAGGAACGTGCCTAACTCAGAAGGCATTAGCTTGGTTTCTGCCATGTTAAATGCTGTCTGTCTAGGTTCTTAATAACTGCACCCCATCGCCCCCTCCAAGGGTTCTTTGTTGTTGCTTCTCAGCCTCGGTCTCATACAAGAGATGATCCCACAGCTCTCCAGTGGTGGGGCCAGAACACAAGCCTCACCCCTGCCTGCAAAGTGTGGGCTGCCTTTGCACCCCAAACCCCATACCCCCTGACTAGGCACAGGAACTAGACTGACGAGGGGCGCAGATGATAGGCTGAAGGATGGAAGGGTTGCCACAGTCTCTTCCCTAAGGGAGGGAGAATCAGAAAGATGCATGTAGAGGCAGATGAAGTTAGGAATTTGGACTAGAGCAGACGAAGGGTTTCTCATCTGAAGAGTAAGGATGTGCACCAGAGGAAGTCCTAGTGACTGTCCATTCAGGGTGATGGATAGCCAGGCATAACAGCACACTGCTACAGTCCCAGCAGATTCGAGGCTGAGGCAAGAGAGTCTTAAATTCAAGGGCACCCTGGTCTCTCCAAGAGAGCTTACCACAAAAACAAGTGACTGGGAGGAGTGTGCATCTGTAATCGAGGCCCAGCTGAAGCCGAGGCAAGGGTTTGGTAGGATTCTGGGTCCTGGTATATTCTGAAGCTATATGCTAAGAAGTAGCTGGCTAATCTCATGCATCCTAGAGTTAGGTGCGTGGCCCTGATGCGGCTCTTTACCTCTATCTAGGTGAGGGGCCTGATTTACTGGTGTACAACTTGGACTTTGGTGGGCATCTCCGGATGGTGAAACGAGTCCAGAACCTGCTTGGTCACTATCTCATCCATGGGTTCCGAGTGCGACCAGAGCCCAAAGGAGACCTGGATTCTGAGGCCATGATAGCTGTGTTTGGGAGCAAGGGACTCAGAATTGTGAAAGTAAGCTGGGGTCAAAGCCATCTTCGAGAGCTCTGGCGCTCTGGCCTGTGGAATATGTCTGACTGGGTCTGGGATGCACGCTGGCTTGAGGGTAACATAGCCTTGGCCTTGGGCCACAACTCAGTGGTACTGTATGACCCAGTGATAGGGTGCATGCTGCAGGATGTCCCCTGCACAGACAGGTGCACCCTCTCCTCAGCCTGCCTGGTTGGAGACACCTGGAAGGAACTGACCATAGTGGCAGGCGCTGTCTCCAACGAGCTCCTGATCTGGTACCCAGCAACCGCTCTCACAGACAACAAACCCGTGGCACCTGACCGGCGGGTTAGTGGACACGTGGGTGTCATCTTTAGCATGTCATACCTGGAAAGCAAGGGCCTGCTGGCAACTGCTTCAGAAGATCGAAGTGTTCGAATCTGGAAGGTGGGCGACCTCCGGGTGCCTGGGGGTCGGGTTCAGAATATTGGCCACTGCTTTGGACATAGTGCCCGTGTGTGGCAGGTGAAGCTCTTAGAGAATTACCTCATCAGTGCAGGAGAGGACTGTGTCTGCTTGGTGTGGAACCACGAAGGGGAGATCCTTCAAGCCTTTCGGGGCCACCGGGGCCGAGGGATCCGGGCCATAGCTACTCACGAGAGGCAAACCTGGGTGGTCACTGGGGGAGACGACTCAGGAATTCGGCTCTGGCACCTGTCAAGCCGGGGCTACCCAGGCCTGGGTGTCTCATCTCTGTGCTTCAAATCTCCTAGCCGGCCAGGTGCCCTCAAGGCTGTGACTCTGGCTGGTTCTTGGCGAGTACTGGCCGTGACTGATGAGGGGGCCCTGTACCTCTACGACCTTGAGGTCAAAAACTGGGAAAAACTGCTGGAGGACAATCGATTTCAGTCGTACTGCCTGCTGGAGGCAGCTCCTGGTCCTGAGGGTTTTGGACTCTGTGCCTTGGCCAATGGGGAGGGTCTTGTGAAGGTTGTCCCCATCAACACCCCCACTGCTGCTGTTGAACAGAACCTGTTCCAGGGGAAGGTCCACAGCCTGAGCTGGGCCCTGCGTGGGTATGAGGAGCTTCTTCTGTTGGCATCAGGCCCTGGTGGGGTGGTAGCTTGCTTGGAGATCTCGGCTGCACCCACGGGCAAGGCCATCTTTGTCAAGGAACGTTGCAGGTACCTGCTTCCCCCAAGCAGGCAAAGATGGCACACATGTAGTGCTTTCCTACCCCCAGGTGACTTCCTTGTCTGTGGGGACCGCCGTGGCTCTGTGCTGCTCTTCCCCGTCAGACCGTGTCTGTTCAAAAAACCTGGGGCTGGAGGCAAGGCTATTACTGCAGCTGAGGGCCCTGGAGCTGGTAGTGGCAGCAATGGCTCTGAGAGTGTTGTAACAGGTATAGGCCCGGTCTCTACACTCCACTCTCTGCATGGGAAACAGGGTGTGACCTCCGTTACCTGCCATGGTGGCTATGTATACAGCACAGGGCGTGATGGCTCCTACTTCCAGCTCTTTGTACACGGTGGCCACCTCCAGCCAGTTCTAAGGCAGAAAGCTTGTCGAGGCATGAACTGGGTAGCTGGGCTTCGGATGGTGCCTGATGGAAGTATGGTCATCTTGGGTTTCCATGCCAATGAATTTGTAGTGTGGAGCCCCCGGTCCCATGAGAAGCTGCATATCGTCAATTGTGGGGGAGGGCACCGCTCCTGGGCCTTTTCCGATACTGAGGCAGCCATGGCCTTTGCCTACCTTAAGGAAGGTGAGGTCATGCTCTATCGGGCTCTAGGTGGCTGCATTCGGCCAAACGTGATTCTCCGGGAGGGTCTGCATGGCCGGGAAATCACATGTGTAAAGCGTGTGGGCACTGTAACACTGGGCCCCGAATTTGAGGTACCCAACTTGGAGCATCCTGACTCCCTGGAGCCTGCCAGTGAGGGGCCTGGTCTGATTGACATCGTGATAACAGGCAGCGAGGACACTACTGTCTGTGTCCTAGCTCTTCCCACCACCACAGGCTCGGCCCATGCCCTCACTTCTGTCTGTAACCATATCTCCTCTGTGCGAGCCCTGGCAGTGTGGGCTACTGGCACCCCAGGCGGCCCACAGGATACTCGACCAGGGCTTACTGCTCAGGTAGTATCTGCAGGGGGTCGAGCTGAGATACACTGCTTCAGCCTCATGGTCACTCCTGATGCCAGCACCCCCAGCCGCCTTGCCTGCCACGTCATGCACCTTTCATCCCACCGGCTAGATGAGTACTGGGACCGGCAGCGCAACCGGCACCGGATGATCAAGGTGGACCCTGAGACCAGGTACTGCGGCCTCCCTGTCATGGGCGTGGTGTGGGATTGTTACAAGGAAGCTTGTGTCCCCCGACATGCAGGCTCCAGCTGACAGTAGTGCTCTTCCTGCAGGTACATGTCTCTCGCTATCTGTGAGCTTGACTCCGATAAGCCCGGCGTTGGCCCCGGCCCCCTTGTGGCTGCAGCCTGTAGTGATGGAGCAGTGAGGTGAGCACGCAGGGCAGAGGATGAGGAGACAAAGGTGTGTGAGCTCTCAGGATGGGTTCTGAGATGCACCCCCCCCCCCCAGGCTCTTTCTCTTGCAGGACTCTGGGCGAATTTTGCATCTCCTCGCTGAGACTTTCCACCATCAGCGGTGTGTCCTCAAAGTCTATTCCTTCACACATGAGGCACCTAACCAGCGTCGGTGAGAGGCAGTCCTCCATGGATTGGGTAAGGGCTGCTGTTGTCTTTCTCCCTTTTATTGATCTGGCTGTCCTCTCCTGGCTTCCAGGAGGCTGATCCTGTGCAGCGCAGCTACAGACGGCAGCCTAGCCTTCTGGGATCTCACCACCGCCATGGACCGAGGCTCTACTACCCTGGAGCCTCCAGCACATCCTGGGCTTCCCTACCGTAAGTACCATGACAGCTCTCATCACCTCTCACACAAGATGGAGGCAAGCCTAACAGCCACTCTCTTCCTCCAGAGATGGGCACCCCCCGCCTGACCGTCCAGGCCCATAGCTGTGGTGTCAATAGTCTGCACACTCTGCCTACACCCGAGGGCAACCATCTTGTGGCCAGTGGCAGTGAGGACGGGTCCCTGCATGTCTTCACACTTGCTGTGAAGATGCCAGAGCAGGAAGAAGAGACTGATGGGGAGCCTGAGTTGGTGCCCCAGTTATGTGTCCTCGAGGAATATTCTGTCCCTTGTGCACATGCTGCTCATGTGACAGGCGTCAGGATCCTAAGTCCCAAGCTTATGGTCTCAGCCTCCATAGACCAACGGCTGACCTTCTGGCGTCTGGGACATGGTGAGCCCACCTTCATGAACAGCACTGTGTACCATGTGCCAGATGTGGCTGACATGGACTGCTGGCCTGTGAGCCCTGAGTTTGGCCACCGCTGTGCTCTGGCAGGTCAGGGACTTGAGGTTTACAACTGGTATGACTGAATTATCCCAGTGGTGGGAGAATTGAGCATGGGGCCTGACTATGGACAGTGGAACAGGAATCAGCTGTCTGTGTCATGCTCAGCGTGCTCTGAGGAGGTGAGGCAGTACCATAGGTTCTTCAAGTATTCCTGTAGGGTGTTGCATAGGTGGACCAAGAATAAGCCTCACTCTCCACAATAGGATGAAATTGTATTTATTCTGACTTTTAGTGCCCAACATCTGTGAGGTTTTGTTTTTTTCCCAGTTGATGCTTTTATAAACATTCCTAGCTATTGGGCCCTTAGATGTGGCTCAGCGGAGGGAGGCCCAGCATAGCCAAGCCTGTGTGGAACACCTCACGTACTGCCCTCAAAAGCTGTAGGCGAGCAAACATCTGACCAAAGAGGTGTGGCCGAGGTTCCTGAAAGAAGCCGCCAGGCGCATGCTCTTTTCCCGTGCCTCACCCTTGCCCACCTTTCCCACAGACCCGCCCTCACCCATGCCCACCTTTCCCACAGACCCTCCTTGCTGTACGCTCACCCCTAGAATGTGTACTCTGTTATAGTAGGAGCTGAAATCCATGCTGAGCTGCACCAGGAACTTGCACACCTAGAGACAGAGGTTGAATTGTTGAGCTGTTGTCTTTTTTCTTGTGTCACAACCCAGAATAAAGAATAGTGTGTGTAGTGTCTTCTGTGCCTCACCATCTCCGTGCGAACTGAGATGTGGAGCCCTGGGGTGCTGGTCAGGCTCACAGTCTGGCTCAGCAGGTCCAGGAAGGGAAGGACACTGTTGAAAAGCAGCAGCCACTCACCCTGTGGGAGCCAAGAGTGCTAGGAAGACAAGTTCAAGCCTTCTGCCTGTGGCCATTCATCAGGACAAACACTTACCTCGTCATGGAGCAATGAGAAATCCAGACTGCTCACAAGTGGAAAAGTGGGGTACAGACCTTGTTCCATTCCATGTTTGTAACCCTCAAAGAGTGTGGCAAGGCGGGCACAGTTATACATGACAAAAGTTCCACTCTTTGTGCCCTTTGTGGAGATGGTGCTGTGGGCTAGGAGGAGCTGGGGAATGGGAAGACAGATGCAGAGGGCACTGGCTCTATACACTGTCTCCTCAGTCTTAGTACCGGGAGGCACCCAGGCTTACCTGGCTCTGCGGAGCTGTGCTTAGCATCTCAAATTTGATGGTGGCCACAGAGAGGATATCAAAGGTCTCGGTCCATGCAGGGTCTGGGGTGAGAGATATAGTCTGGTCAGTGTCTGAAGACAAAGCACACAGGGTAGAGGTATGCATGACCTGCTTCTATTTCAGGGCACAAGCAGGGTCTCTCCCAGGTGTACCTTGTGCCAAGTCTCCTCCATGCTTCAGTGCTGATGCCTTGCACACCTGCCCATGTCTGAGCCTAGAAAAGGAAGCCAGTAAGCACGGTCCTAGTGAGAGCTCCACCTACATCTCTTCTATTCCTGGCTGTGGATGGCACCCCTTCCAAACTCACCGGTAGTACTCAGGGGCAGTCATCTGGGTGCCAGGAACACCAGCTACTTTCACTGGGCCACACACCAGGTGCTTCTGTGAAAGGTTGGAAGGGTTCAGTCCAGTTGACACTACCCTTCCACCTCCAGGGAACTACATCAGTTGCTTCTCTACCTTGATTTCCCCTCTGTAACCACCAGCTTTAATTAGTACCTCCTCAAGACACAGTCACACTTTTCTTAAGACTACACAGTCACAGGACCCCTAAGGTCACATCAGTTTCTAAACCCATGGTCTTACAGGCCTTCTGGGTTTCCAGGGCCTTCCGAGGTTGGAGATGGTTTACCTTTGGTAACCAACCTGCTTGTGAGGAGCCTGGTCATCCAGCTTCTGCCAAAGCAGATCCAGCTTTTGTTGCTGGAACGTCTCCTCACAGCTCACCACATGTATAACCATGCAGTCATCTACACCAGCATCTGGATCCCCAACCTAAGTAGAGATGGGTCAGTTACTACAAAGATGGCAGAAAACAGCTTGGGTAGAGGTCAAGACAGCCACTAACCTGGCCTGGTTGGCCATCCGCTGGCCAACGGCGCACAGCCTGCTGCAGCTCAGACAGCACAGAGAGCAGATCTTCAGTCACTACAGAAAACAGAGGTGTTGAAGTGCTTAGCAGTGCAGAGAGACTACTACCACACCCATGTTGTGGCTTTTGTCCTACCCAAACAGTGGTCTATGCTGGGGTCATAGCCAGCAGCATGTCTCTGTTCTACCAGTTCCTTCAGACACAGTCGGCCTAGGACGCCAGGGGGCAGTGTCTCCTCAGAACCATTAAGGTTTGCAAGTACATGGGTTCTCAGTGTTTCTGTCGTGCTCTTCGAGGCAGTGGGCCATTCCACCCGAAGTTTCTGGAGGAAAGTTGACATGTGAGGGTCCCGCACCGGGGGCACTGAGCACACACGTACCCTGAAAAGCAAGGGAGGCTGTCTCACCCTGCGAATCAAGCTTAGATAACCATGACTCCCACCTTTTCTGTCCCAAAAGTTTCAGTCTTTTTCCAATTATAGCCTCGAACACGCACTTACCCATGAGCACACAGCACCCGTCCTAGGTGATCGGCTACGAGCACGGCACGCAGCTGGCTCAATCGGAGCGTTTCCGGATCACAGCGCAGTGCTGGGCAGTGTAGGACAACTCGCGGGCCTGGTGAGGTGCGTTTGGCGGGAGTAGCATAGGAGGCCAGGGCACCGAGTACATGTTCGAAGACTGCGGGCCGCTGTAGTTGGAGCGATAAACCCGCGGGTGTCGGCGCGCAGCGCAGTACAGGGGCCACTCCTGGACCCTGCAGGCAGGAGACCGCACGCAACACGCACTCTGGCACCTGCAGACAGATGTGTAAGTGGATCGTAGTTCCGTGTATCCGGCTAGACATGCCCGACCGGCGCGCACCCACCTGCCCATCCCTGAAGCGCGCCTGTAGCGCGCTTCGCGGTGCCAAGAAGTCTCGGACACGAAGGTGCCGGGCATGCGTTTCCTTAAACCACACCGGGCTACCAGACCCTACAGCTGCATTAAGGGCTTCCAGCGTCTCCCCAACCCCAAGGCGCCCGGTCGCCATGGCGACCGGAAGAGTAAGTGGAACAGGAAGTAAGTTATCCGTAGAGCTTCCGGGAGGTCCGCCTGGCGGGGGCGGGGATCCGGCGACTGACTCTCCTGAGTGGACCGGAGCGCTCGAGCATGCCAAGTGGGCTTACATTCTACCCACGTCTCCCGCTCTCCCTCCCGATGGCCTTTCCTGTATTCGTGAGCCCTAGCCCTCAAATCTGAGGATCCTTTTTTCCTCCTACTTTTTTTCTTTAAATAGTCACCCCGAATTATTAACTTGGTAACACATCTTTGTTACTACGGAAGACACTTTGCCACCAAAGTTTCACATCTTTGTGCTTATGTTTCTTTTTTGCCCCATTTAAACAAATTAAAGGTCAGACGCACTAGAGGAAATGTCAAAGGAATAAGGCTGTACCATTAATGACACTTTTAATGACACTTTTTTGTTTTTCGAGATAGGGTTTCTCTGTGTAGTCGTGGCTGTCCTGGAACTCAACTTTGTAGACCAGAATGGCCTTGAACTCAGAGATCTGCCTGCCTCTGCCTCTTGAGTTCTAGGATTAAAGGCTCCTGTCTTCCATTAAAGACCCTTTACCGCCTACTTGAAAAAGTAATGAAACAAAATTTGAGTTCTGATTATTGGCATGCCTTTCTTTGGCAGTGGTATGGGATGTCTTTATTCTCAGTAAAAGCCCAATCTGACAGAATTCCCCATCTTGATACCTGAGGAATTAGTCATAATTTCCAGAATTACCAGCCTTTAATGTTTTTCTTTTAAACTGGTGTTACTGGCACCTTTGGTTCTTTAGGCAACTGGCCAGTTAAGACAATTAAATGTGATCCCGAGAAGACCCAAAAAAGCAGAGATCTCAAATAGAGCATGCTGCAGGAAAGCTTTTCTCTGTCCAAATGCTTTTATTTCAAAGTAACGTAAAACTCCACTTCCCCAGTAATGAATGGATCCAACTGGTGAACTTTGCTCTGGAGAGGAATGAAATCTAGAGACAGGAAAAGTTCGGCAAGGCCGGGGCTATGAGGCCCTGTTTGGGAGGTGCCGAAAGAGCACTGGGCGGACACGACATTCCCGATGGCTTCTTGGGTCCCCACTCAACGGGAGTGATCGTGTCATTCCAAAGCACTTTCCATGCTGTGGGTTCAGCTGCTAGCAGTGCTGGGACCCACCGGCAAGCTGGTGATTTTAGCTACTCTCCCTCCATGAAGACGGTTGGGGTGGTTTTTCCCCAGGAAGTGAAGAGCTATCTTTAGCGAGTTGCGGGCTGGGCGGCCCTGAGGGACTCACCGCCATCGCGGCCCTACAGAGAGGACCTTGGACCTCCCTCGTCAGAATTCTCCATGGATTCCAGAGAGGGCTATCAGCCCGAGCTCTTTTCGTCGTCTCTGCCTGCCACCATCAGTCTGGGGGTGCACCTGAGAGATGGAGATCAGAATGGCCCAGTAGTGTTTCTGAGGATAGAGACCACCTTATCTGGGCCAGGGCGCTGCTCAGGCAGGAGAGCAGGGAACGAAATCCAAGTGCAGCTGGAATGCTCTGGAGACAACAGCTGCTTTTGGGATTCCGTTGCCCGCTGTCCAGCCATTGGAGGAGGGCTCCCAGGTCACTCGCCCTGAGGCCAAACCGGAACCCGCCCATCCCTTCCCAGTGGGCTGACTAGGAGGAGTAGGTGTTTTAAACCAGTCTAGTGAGAATGAGACGCTCACCTGGGCCCCAGAACAATAGGAGAGGTGGGGGCATCCCCCGGGACGAGGTCCTGATCCGGATTAGATCAGAAGGGCAGGATTAGCCCTGTGAGTCCCAAGCAGGAGCCACTTGTACCGGGCGGGCTTCAGAATCCATCAAGAGGGAAGCGATCCCGTGGAACCCGAGAGGAAGTAAACCCATGTGTCCACTTCTGGGACACCTCAAAGCTTAGGACCCTTTGTCCGATGATGCTGCCAGCTCACGAAGTGCCAGGGGCCAAACTGGCCCATATAACAGCCGTAGGACAGCCCCCCCACCCCATTGCAACCGGCCCTGCAAGAACCCCACAGCCAAGCCCCAGTTGTGTCGAGCATCCCACCCGTCTAGTCCAGCGGATAGAGAGCACGACAAAGTTCCTCTGAAGCCAGGACAGAACCGGTGCGCAGAGATGCCCATGCCGCGGGACGCCAAGGACTCATGCGCCAGTAGGCCCTAGACTCAGCTCAAGACAGGGGAGGGAGACTCTCGGTACGCGCACGCGGAGCGCGTGAGGACGGGGTGGTGCTCCAGGCGCTGTCTACTTCACGTCTGGTCCGGTTTGGCCCAGTCAGTCCCACCCAAACAGCTACTCCACCACTGCCACGGCGTGCCCTTCCGCTGGCTCTAGCTGTCCCCAGACTTGGAGCCATTTTAAGGAGAAACCATCTGACCACACCCCCTCGCGCTGCCAGGAAGCCAATCCACGCTCGGCCACGCCTCTCATGGAGCGCTGCGCCGTCGCCAACGGTCGCGCGGGTGACGGTTGGGGAAAGCAGCGATTTCGAGACTAGTTAGGGAAACCTTAGCCATCCGCCCCGCCCTCGGAGCCCGACTCTCCAAAGCCTGGGATTAAGGGCCTGGAGGCTGGCACCACACCCCGGCCAGGTGTTCAGAACAAGACCAGGTGCGCAGCTGCCCCGCCCTGGTCCCCGCGAGCCCGAATAATGGCTGAGACTCCGAGGAACAGGCCGTGGCGGTGGCCTAAACAATACCCAGAGGGCACCCGTACTAGCAGGTGTTTCCCTCCCTCCTCCTTAGGGACTGTCGCTGGAGGCCTGGGGCGGGGTGGGCGACAGGTGCTGACACACCCGCACCGGGAGACAGAGGCTCTGTATTGCTCCACTGCCTCGGCCAAGGTGCGCGGTGCCCTCCTGGACGCAGGGGGCGCTGTGGCCGCTCTGAGACCGACAACTCTGCCCCTGCGACCGGGTCACTGAGCGCCGTGGCAGCCATGGCCACTGCTGTAGGACTTCGCTCTCTTTACCGAACGCGACCTGCGCCGCTCTGTCGGCACGCCTATCAGCTGTGGTGAGCATCCCCTGTCCAGCCTCAGACCACATGGCCTCAGACCTTTCAGTCCTGCGTAGTAGTAGTACGGCCTGGCCATGAGTTCCTGACTTTAGCCCTCCGCAGGAGGAACCCGCGTCGAGGACACAGGCTCTCACCGGCGGACGATGAGTTATACCAGCGGACCCGCATCTCTCTGCTGCAAAACGAGTTCCCACAGGCCATTTACATCGACAGCTACAATAGCAGAGGTTTCACTATCAACGGAAACCGCGTGTTTGGCCCTTGCGCGCTGCTCCCACAGACGGTGGTCCAGTGGAACGTGAGCTTTCCCCCACATTGAAACTTAAACATAGCGCCAAGAGCCACTCCCTCCTAGCAAATTTAGCTTTATTTTGTTGCCTATTAATGTCGCTGCGAGTAAAAGCTGTATAGATTTGACGTGTTGAATGGCATCTGCTCCCATACAGGTAGGATCTCATCAGGACATCACTGAAGAGAGCTTCTCCCTTTTCTGGATGCTGGAACCTAGGATAGGTATGGGGCAGTTAGCACTGGGTCCTAGGAGACAACCTTCTATATAAGACCCTAAACGTTTGGTTGTCTCCACATTCCTTAGAGATTGTTGTGGTGGGCACCGGAAACAAGACTGAGCGGCTGCACTCTCAAGTCCTACAGGCCATGAGGCAGCGGGGCATTGCTGTGGAGGTACAGGACACGGTAGGTCTTTGGACGCGAAAATTCTACCTAGTTCAGGCCCTACTTAGCTCAGGCATGCTAATTCTCCATTCTCTTTGCAGCCCAATGCCTGTGCCACCTTCAACTTCCTGTGCCATGAAGGTCGAGTGACAGGAGCTGCCCTCATTCCCCCTCCTGGAGAGACTGCACTTGCTTCTTTGGGTCAAGCCTCAGAATGAACCATCAGGAACTGTTGAGGAGGGCACTGTGCATGGTCTCCCAGTGCTTTCCCCACTTGCTGCCTTTTGGCACACCACACTTGTCATGCTTACTCAGGATAATAATTTTTACTCTTCTGTATTAGTTGTGTTGCTGGGCTTGGCTGCTGACAGGGTGGGGGTGAAAACTAAGGATTGTCTCACCCAGACCATGTAGGGTTCCCTGGCCCCTTATCTACTTTGCTCATATGCAGATTTGAGGAGACACCAATAACTCTCCCAATTTCTTTAGAAGTAGAACTACAGGTCCATGAAGTACACACGGCATGCCCAGGCTGTGGCACAAATGAGGCGACTATAATCTGTGAGCATGTGTGATGGTGGTGGCTGCAAAAATTCCAAGTGCCCATTGAATTCAAAGATCATTTGTCACTTTTTTTCCCAAACTTTTATTGAAAAATTCAAGGCATATACTGGATCGGTTTTCAGAAAAGCCGTTTCTCGTACCTGTAGGCAGAAAGCATCTGAGTTTAGAGGAGGCTGTCTGAGGCTAGCAGAAGCATCTGAGTTTAGAGGAGGCTGTCTGAGGCTAGCAGAAGCATCTGAGTTTAGAGGAGGCTGTCTGAGGCTAGCAGAAGCCTCCACCCAGGCACAGGGCTACTTACGAATGGAGGCCGTGCACACCACCTTCCACCTGAGCTGAGGAGGTTCTCTTCTCAAATTTAAGTTCCCCCGAGTACATCATGGCTCTGAGGAGAAGCAGGCATTAGATGCAGATGCAGGCAGTAGCACCTCTCCTCCATTCTTAAAAGTTCCAGCTACCCACCCAAGCTCACCTCACTTGGGTTAAACTCTTGGCACCAATGTCCTGACAGGAATGCTGGATGCCAGCAATCAAGTAAGGGACAAACTTATGGATAGACCCTTTGTCCTGCACTGCCCCCGAAACTCCTTGGGCCACTTTGATTTTGTCAGCTTCACTGTTGGAAGAGGCAGAAATATGAATAAAGTTGACAAAGGGATGAGACCAAATGCAGGATGTGGGGGTTGACTTGTCTGCCTATCCTACCTGAAGTATCGGTTCTGGCTGCTGAGGTGCTTGTCCATGGCATCCAGAGAACCCATCCCTCGGTACTTCTTCAGCCGGATCCCGTCTGAGAAGAAGTACTCACCAGGGGCCTCAGTGGTGGCAGCCAAGAGGGAGCCCATCATGACTGTGGACAGAGACGTGAGCTGGGCAGAATCTGAGACGTGCAGGAAAGGGGACCCCAACCAGGCCCTAAGGCCCTAGGCCTCACCTGTAGAAGCCCCAAGAGCTAGGGCTTTGGCAATATGACCCACATTTTGGATTCCTCCATCAGCAATAACGGGAACACCAAAGCGACGCGCATACTCAGAGACCTTGTACACTGCCGTTGCTTGGGGCCGTCCACAGGCCAACACTGTCGAGAGATGGAGGGACAGATGAGTGTGTAATATTGGGATAGGGAGATGAAAGGGGCCACTCTCAGGACCCAGTAGCTCTGAAAGAGGCCTATACCAAGTCCATAGCCGATGAAGAGATGTGTCTGGGATGGCTACTACCCATCTGCCTTAAGTAGTACAAACACCTGTGCTGGCTTCGCCTCTGCATGTGCTCGTGCATGTGTGCAGGGCCCAGGGCAGCCTCAGGCACATGCAGTTTATAGCAGCCGGGAAGCCCCGCCCAGCTGGTATCAGATGGGGCAAGTGTCACCGTGCAGTTAGTATCTAGAGACACCAAGTCAGGCCTTGCCTTTCCTGCATAGTGGGCAGCTCAGGCAAGATCAAGGCAGTGGTAACAGAAGAGAACAAGTTCAAGAATTGGTTGGTGAGCCATGCCTACTGCAGAGTGTGTGGACAGAGCAGGGCCTGCCTCAGGAAGGAGGTCCTGCTCTATGAGCACCCTAGGAAGGAGCTGTGAAGGAGCTCAAGCAGCCCCCAAACCATGGTCTGTACATCTGTTTGCCCTGCCCACCCAACAGCACCACAAACCCTGGGAGCTACAGCTACAGTCAACCAAGCAGCCGGGCAGTGGGCAGCTGGGCCGGGCCAGTGGGCCGGGCCGGACTTACTATAGCAGCCCGAGACAGTAGAAGGGCATTTGGGGCTGTGGGACTTTATGTCTGGTGGGATCTTGGGAGCCGCTAAATAAAACAAACAGACCAGAGTTTAGAGAGGGCAGAGCAGGAGCAAGGAGGCCAGGCTAGGCAGGGAGTGGCAGGTGAGGGATGACAAGAACTTGTCTTGCTTCCAGCCATGTCACCCATCCAAGAGGCCTGTTTGGCCCTAGAGTTGCCCAAGTTGGAGGACTCAAGTGTAGTTCCCCTAAGAGCCGATGGCCCCAAGCAAAGCGGATTTTTTACCTTCCTGGGTGATGCAGATGGAGCCACTTCCCATGCCAACTCGCAGAGCATCCACACCTGCATCTATGAGGTTCTTGGCTTGTGCGGCAGTGACTACTACAGTGAAATGGAAAGGCTAATGAGGGTCCAGGTGGCAGAGCGCGTATCTCATCACCCACTTAGTGCTGACTTACCATTGCCTCCAATGACCTGGAGATTGGGGTACTTCTCCTTAATGTATTTGATCATATTGATCTGGAAGATGGAATTTCCCTGGGAAGAGTCCTAGAACAGGAAGGAAGTTCTAGCATACCATGATATGGCAAATCACCTGTAGAGCCGCACCCTACTTATATTGTAGCTTACCAAAACTACCACATCCACACCGGCAAGGGCCAGTAAGTCCAGCCGGTACTTGTCATCCTCATGGGTGCCAATGGCTGCCCCACACAGTAGTTGCTTTTTGGCATCTTTGGAAGCCAGTGGGTAATCACGGTTCTTCTTTAGGTCTGTCCGGGCAATGATGGCTACCAGCTCATCATTTTCATTCACAATGGGCAACTTTCCTGAAGGCAGAACAGGACATGTGTCAGGATCCTGAATATAATTTCTTTTGTTTGTTTGTTTTTCTTTTTTCTTTTTTTTGGTTTTCCGAGACAGGGTTTCTCTGTGTAGCCCTGGCTGTCCTGGAACTCACTCTGTAGACCAGGCTGGCCTCGAACTCAGAAATCCACCTGCCTCTGCCTCCCAAGTGCTGGGATTAAAGGCGTGCGCCACCACCGCCCAGCTGTTTGTTTGTTTTTCAAGACAGGGTTTCTCTATATAGCTCTGGCTGTCCTGGAACTCACTCTGTAGACCAGGCTGGCCTCAAACTCAGAAATCCACCTGCCTGTGCCTCCCAAGTGCTGGGACTAAAGGCGTGTGCCAACACTGCCTGGCCTGAATACAGTTTCTGAGCCCCTTCCCATGTTTAGGTTAGGACTTACCCTTTTTACTGCGCTGCAGGATTTCATTTGCCTCTTTCAGAGTGACGCCAGCAGGGGCTACCACCAAATCTTCCCTCTTAGTCATGATCTAGGATATGAGTCATGAGGTAAAGACCAGTCAGATGAGGACCCTCCCTTGCAGACAGGCCATACTATACTTTCAAAAGACCACCATGACCATATACACAAACCCAAACCAGCCCTCCTGACAGGCACTCAGCAGCTGTTATGAAGAACACAGTGTAGGGAACAGCCTCTTTAGAGACAGACCACACAAGAGCATGGGGAAGAAAAGGAAGCACAAATGTTGGCAGATGTTTAGTCACCAGAGTCCCTGAAGGAGAAGGGATGCAGAAACCGCATGAAGCAGTAAGAAACATAGCAGGGCATTTTTCTTCGACAGAAAACGAGGCCACCAGTACCACCATATAGATTAACAAGAAACTGCATGCTTTCTTCAGTCTGAGTTTAGACCTTGGTTTCCTCAGCCAGGGACGCCTACCTCTTCCAAGAAACGGTCATGCTCTTCCTCCTTGAGGAAATCAATGTCCCTTGAGGAGATGATGCCCACCAATCGACTCCCCATCCGGCCTGTATCTGTGATGGGGATACCACAGAAGCCATGCCTGGCTTTGGCCTCAAAAACATCTCGTACACGATCCTTGGGGCTAAGGACCACAGGGTCAGTGATGAATCCCTGTTCGTATTTCTGGAAGGTATAGTGAGAAAGTCACTGCATCTTTGAAATCGCTGTCATCAGGCTCCTGGTCTAAAGAATAAGGTCCATGCCTAGCTGTCCTGTATTGCAGAGCCACAGAACCAAAGCAAACCCTCAAACAAGGACATAGGTGGTCTGGAAGGACTATGCACTAGCTTAAGAAATGGGGTCTTGGGTCTTCCTGCTCAGTAACTGAACCTCATAGTAGGAATAACATTTAGCAAAGCAAATCCTCCACTCCCACCCCACGCCTGTAATTCCCAGGAATTCTTGGCCATGATTCTTGCCCCCCCCCCTTTTTTTGGTTTTTCAAGACAGGGTTTCTCTGTGTAGCCCTGGCTGTCCTGGAGCTAACTCTGTAGACCAGGCTGGCCTCGAACTCAGAAATCTGCCTGCCTCTGCCTCCCAAGTGCTGGGATTAAAGGCGTGCGCCACCACCACCCGGCGATTCTTGCCCTTCTAACCTTCACTTTCCGAACTTCATTGGCCTGGAATTCAGGTGTGCAGTTGTGGTGGATGAAACCGATACCTCCTGTAAGCTGCAAGATGAACACACAAGTAAGTGATAAAAATAAGAGGCACAATCTTTGGCTATAAGATGGCACCCATGACCCTCGAGCCTCACCGCCATTGCGATGGCCATTCCAGCCTCTGTGACAGTGTCCATAGGTGAGGAAACCAAGGGGGTCTTCAGTGTAATCTTCTTAGTTAGAGCAGAGGTCAAGTCCTGAGGAGATAAAGGACCAGCAAAGAGAAATACAGCTTATTCTTCAGGGTCCATCGCAGGAGCCCTGGGTGATCTGCGTATTCACCAGCAAGACCATTCCATTGACTCTACCTCATGGCCCAAAGTCTAGTCTGGTGCAGTAGCTCACACTGAAGAACAGTAGCATCTTACCCATTCTAGATGTTTACCAACCCAGTTCCTAGAGTGGCACAGTGGCACATGCCTACTGTAATACCAGAAACCAGATGGAGGTCTGACACTAATAATTAGCGGTCAACATAACCAGTTCTGGAGCAGCCAAGGTTATACAGGTAGGCTGTCTCAGAAACAAAATAGAAAAACCCAGTACCTTATTATACTCACCACCTGATCCGCAGTGAAGTCGATATACCCAGGAAGAATGAGAAAATCACTGTAGGAGGGAAATAGGCAGGACTCTTAGGCTTTTGACACCAAGAAACTTCAACTCCATATACATCCCATAAAACTCTTGAGCAGGGAGACGTACTGAGCACGTCTGACACGGGCACGATGTCACTGGGTGGATGCCACCGAGGTGTCTGTCATTAGTGCTACTGCACACTAACAATTCCATATATCCAGAACTGAGTCTCAAGACTCAAGCCTTAAGTACTATTGACAGCACCCTCTCAACCCCTGGCCCACATAGGTCAAAGTTATTCTCCGGTGATAGGTAATTCCCGGATCCTGTTTCCCATCCGCTCCCAGGAGAGCTTCGATGAAGCCCTCCCTTCTCCGGCCTTCTCGCCAGCGTGCTGCCCCCTCGCCTCGCCCAGATGGGTGCCCTAGACCCGCACTTGTAGGTGAGGCCGTCCCCGCAGTTGAAGAGCTGCTGTGCGGTCAGCCCGTCGTCTGGCACATAAGAAGTGCCTCCGCTGATCAGGTAGTCCGCCATGACCAACGAGGAACCCGGACGCGCGCCTCCGAGGACCGCGCCGCAGAGGCCTCTGCCGTCCGGACCGCGCCAATATAAACTAGACTATTCCGTCACACGTCGCGTGCGTCGCTGACGCCAGGGCGTAGGGCGTGCGTAGTGCCACGCCCCGTTTTGAGGCGGAGTTAGCGGAGATGGATAAACGCGTGCTTAAGGCGTTCACAGCAAGGCCCAGGCTGTTTCCTGTCCAGCCCGTCTCTGCGCCCCGCCCCCGCAGGATTCCGGCCCATTCAATTAGGCTTTGTTTCCACTTCCCCTGCAGAGCTCCTCCCCCAAATAAAGACACGTTCTCCAGTAGCTTGTTGAAAAGACGTGCTTGTCATTCTTAATAAACAACTAGAATAAGAATACATAAGAGAAAGAGTGGTATCTTTATATGATACACAAGTGTATGTTACAAGAATTCCATCAGGCACAGGAGCCTCAGTTTTAAGGCCTCAATGTTAGGCCAAAAAAAAAAAAAAAAAAAAAAGCATGGTAAAGTTTTTACTTTAACATCTATGTCACTTGTCATAAAGAAGGGTGTAATAGAAACTGTCTTTAATAAAAATCATAATTAAAGTTCCCCTCATTTTTCTTCCATCAAGATGCTAAGTTTATGTCGGAGCATTAACAAAAAAAACAAAAAAAAAAAAAAAAAAAAAAAAAATCTGAGAGGTCAGTAAAGTTTGCCGGTCCAGGAGGGTTGATTCATCCGCAGCTCCATCTTCGTTGAAGAAGGGAAGGACCTCTATTTCTCCATACAGTCCAAGTTCCTTTCCCCGTGTCCCAGACAATAGATAAAAAGAGAAGGAAAAAGCCAACCACTTCCTAGGTTCTCAGAAAACCCAGATCCCCATGAACCAGGGGTCTGTCTGCCCATTTTATGAAGATGCAAAGAGGGCAACGTTGTCTTTTGCATTTTTAACAGAAGTAGCCTGAAAGTATGGTAACTACAAATTAAAAAAAAAAAAAAGAAGAAGAAGAAGAAAAAAAAAGAAATGGAAAAAATGGAGGCCTCTCCTTTAGTGTAAAAGTCTGTCTGTTTTTCCTGGATTTTTTTCCTGTGGCTGAGGCACCTCAGTGCATGGTGGTTGCGTTGGCCACGGCAATGGCTTCTTGAATTTCTCGTATAACCAGGATCCGGGTCAGCATCTGTCCCATCTGTTCTCTGCTGATAGGCTGGACTGAGTACCAGATTGGGCTGTTGGGAGCTACAACTGGCTCAGGTGTCAGGTAAAAGGTATCATTTCGGCCTTTCACACTCTGGGGGCTGAAGAATAATTTCAGTAAGTAACAGCATAATTTTAACCCTTTCAGTTTAAGCCTCCAAAACACAATTTCAGGCTGAACTACTTAAATCTATCTATATCCCATTTGCAGCAGACGTCAGCATCTAGAAGGCTGAGCTCCAGGTGTTCAATCACACTGTTTTCAACTCAGCAGGAAAGGTCAATAAACATCTTATCTGGGCTCATTTTGCCTACAGCCTATATATAGTGTTGTACCTCTTCAGTACTCAGTGCATTCCAGCATTATCTACAATCATCCATCCATCCATCCATCCATCCATCCATCCATCCATCCATCCAAAAATTTAATGAACATGTGTCAGCTCTACATTAGGTACAGATGTTAAGAGGGCAGGGTTCCTGACAAAGTTATACAAATATGTATGATAGGTAAGTACAAGAGAGGAAATAGCTGAGGACAAAGGTAGGCAATCTGAATATGATTTATTGGAGCTGCTAATGTCCAGAAAAGAGAAAATGTCCTTAGATGTAAAGAATGGTTATGGGCTTGTAGAGCAGCAGACACAGACCAGCAATGCAAATGCATTAGAAGGTCGTTCATGGTGTGCTACAGAATGAAGAGGATGTACCAACTTACTGTGACAAGAAAACAATCAGAAACCTTAAGGAAGATCCCCACCTCCCTATGCTGATGGCACTAGTGACAAACGTTGAGCCAGAGTGGTAGTGGACCATGCTCACTATGTGACTCTAAAAGAAAAGAGCCTTTGTACCCTTACACCTCCTCTGAAAAGTCAGGCCAGAGCCTGTCGTGAGGATGCACACTTAATCCCAGCACTGTCAAAGGCAGACAGATCTCTTGTGAGTGTGAGACCAGCCTGGTCTACAGGATGAATTCCAGGTCACCCAAAGCTACACAGAAGAGACAATGTCTCAAAAGAAGTGGCTGTCAGAGGTCATGACCCCTTTGTTTAGTATTGTGTGCAGGACAGATGTTGGCTACATGTGGTGGAACAGACCATTACACCAGCACGCATGAGGCAGAGGAAGGCAGACTGTGTGAATTTAAGTCTGAGGCCAACCTGACTTAAGTCAGTCTCAGGATAACCTGGGTCATGAAGAGTTTGTTTTGGGACTCTAAACAAACAAAAAGTTATTTCTTCGGCAGTACTGGGGATTCAATCCAGGGCATACCAATCACTCTCTCTAATCCTGAGCAACACCCCTCACTTCTCTTTTAGTATCTGTATATGTACGTCTTTATTGTTTTTGTTGTTCAAGACAGGGGTTCTCTGTGAAGTCTTGGCCATTCTTGAACTCAGAGATCCATCAGCCTCTGCTTCCAAAGTACTGAGATTTATAGGAGTGACACACCAAAGTATATCTTGTCTTGGGGAGTCAGTCTCTAGTTCTTTTCTGAAATCAGAAGTTCAAGGTCATACTCCCACAAGCACACACATACAGTTAGCATACAAAGTTTCCTCACCATTTGAAGAGGTAGAAATCGTAGAGCTTGATGGGACACCTTAATGGGTTCTCGGGATTTTCTGTCTGTTCTGCATACATGTCATCTGTAACTATTGAAAAACAAACAAACAAACAAACAAGTTCAATTCCAGGATCCAACAGAAAGAGAAAACTGCTTCAAGCTATGCTCTGACCACTTGTAAGGACAAGCATGCGTGTAGGCGTAAACAAACACGCACAGGACAGACCTGGCACAGTAATGCAAACCTACATACAAGCTTTAGGCATTCAGCTATCTAATAAAGAAATAATGGGTTAAAAAAGAAAGGGATGAGGAGTAGACAGTGCGGGAGTAGGAAAAAGCTGTGTTCGCAGGGCACACGTGATTCTATGAGAACTGTTTAGAGCTTTTGGCCAAGAAAAAGGAAGTAGATCATTTCTGACCATACAACTTCAACCTCCCATAGGACAAAGGCAGTGCAGGATAAACACTGTTGGCTGTCATTCCCATGTACAGTCCCTACCTTTCTGGCCAGTCTGATGGATTCCAAGGGCCTTCAGGTAGCGGATACTCGTGCTTTTATCCTTAGGATTTGAGGGGCTCTTCTTTGTCTGTCGGAGGACCTTGGAGAAAGCCAGCTTCATGTGCTGATCTACTGTCTTCAACAGGAAGTACCTGGACCACAAGTACAAGCAAGGCAAACAGAGGGATGCAGGAGGATAGGATGACTTCTCTTTTGCCCATCAGTGACTCAGATGAACCATTCCCCACTCCCATGATCTAGGAAGGACCATGCCCAAGCATACTGTCCACAGAAAGTACCATATGAATATAAACTGAAGGGGGTCTGGCAAGGCTGTTTGCACCTTGCCATTCACTACACACAAATGTAGCCACTGGAACTCAAACTAGCTCAAAATTTCTCAAATGTATCAGAGGAACACAGAAATCCTCCTGGTTTTCCCAGTCTTCACTGGGTAGCTGCCGGCAGAAGCCCCTCGAGTACTTACTTGGTGTTAAAGAACATGAGGGTGGTCAGCAGTGTGGAAGGGGAGTGTGCCCCGAGCTGCTTGCATTCCCATAGCATCTCTTCAGTCACGTGGCTGGGCAGAACATAGCCTAGGCAGAACAGAGCACACTGCAACAACTGGATGACAAAGGTCCACACTAGGACCAGAAGGGACAAGGACTACACATGGAGAGTCTTAATCAGGGCAAATACCACTAGGGTGTAGTTAAATAATCTAGAGCTAGTTAAAACACAGATCTGGGCTGGAGAGCTGGCTCATAGGTTAGGAACACTGACTCCTCTTCCAGAGGACCTGGGTTGAATTCCCAGCACTCTCATGGCAGCTCACACGTGTCTGTACTGTCAGTCCCAGGGGATCAGACACCCTCAACAAGAACATACACAGAAGCAAACATCAATGCTCATAAAAAACAAAAAGAAATTATTAAAACAACAACAACAACAAAAAACAGGTTGGAGAGATGTCTCAGTGGTTAGAGCCATCTGGAAATGGAGAGAGGACAATAGAAGAGCACTGTCTACTCTTCCAGAGTTAAGAGTTCAATTCCCAGCAACCACATGGTGGCTCACAACCATCTACACTGGGATTTGATGTCTTCTTCTGACATGAAGTATACATGCAGATGGAGCACATATATACATAAAATAAATAAAACAACAACCACACAGATCCCTGGGTTACAATCTAATTTCTGCAGTAGGCCCTGATAATGACTATGTTTCTAATTAAGTTTCATGGTGACAGAAAACTGTTGCTACTTAAAATTTTTCTTCCTACTGGCCCCAATCAAAGATGATTAGCATAAAAGGACTGTGCTCAAGGAAAGTAAATGACTTAAAGCTACAAACCAAGCTCTGCTTCCACGCTCTTTAAGTCTTTACTTTATGCAGATGAGAGTTTCGCCTTGTGTATATGTGTGCATCCTGTGAATGCCTGGTGCCTGTGAAGGTCAGGAGATGGTATCTGATCCCCTGGAAGTGGAGGTACAGATGGTTGTGAACCACCACGTGGTAGTGGCTGGGAGTTGATTTGGGTTCTCTGCAAGAGCAACAAGTGCTTATAATAACCCATGAATTATCTCTCCAGCCCTTTTTTCAGGGTGCTACAGCACAGAGAATTGGAACATATACACTTTATACATCTACTACCTCTGGCTAGCAAGGCATTTTTATGAACAAAAGAGAAGGCTGATATTTAAATTACTACAAGTTTCCTCCAAAATAGCACTTATTACTAATACCCAAGTAAACTTAAAGCTACAGGGTTTGAAAGGGCAACAGTCTGAACCTGA